ATAATGCTGCGTTTTTTTTTTTATATTTCTTTAATATAGAATTATCAAGAATTTTCTTTTTTTATATTTTTTTATATGTAATATTTTTATATTTTAAATAAAATAAAATAAAATTATAATAAAATATTAATTTTTTTATTTGAATAAATATCTTATAATAAAATAATTTTAGTATTTTCGAATTAATTCGAAATATTGTGAATAAATCTTAAATTAATACTTTTTAAATATATATATATAATACATTTTATTAAATTATTTCGAATTATTCAGATTTAATTTAATTATAATCGATTTAAATCGAAATAGTGCGATATTTCCGTCTTCTTATAATTAAAGTTTCGTTATTCATATTACTGCTTATATCAGTTTATAGCGCATGGTTGCGATTTGTTGTGAATAATTGCGATTTAATTAGCATAATATTGCATAATTTATTACATATGTATTTCGTAATATTTCATAATTGATAATTGTATAAGATTCCGTGTCGTTGCGAAATTCTTGCGCAAGATTTCGGTCCATAATAACTTATATAAGATTACGTTTATATATTTTGCTAATATATACAGGCCTATTTTTCAAATCATCACTAGTGAAATTTAAACTCTAGACCTGCTTCTTAGAGAGGTAATAACTAGACCACTACACTAAGTCACCATACCATGTTTATTTTAATAATTGTGTTTTAGAAGAGTATATTATTAACTGTAATTATTTAATTACTAAATAAATTACTAGGGCAAGTATTTGTTCTTTTATCAATTGTATATATTTTAAGACAATTACAGATCAAATAAAGGCTCCAATTAGCATTAATATAATCCCAATATAAACCTAATTTAAACAGATATTTAGCACAAATAGGAGCCTTTAGAATACAAATCAGGTTCATATAGAGGTTCAATACATATCTAAATGCTAATAGCTTATTGGTAAATCAATAAAGCTTGTCTTATAGCCTTATTGAATTATTTATTAAGCTATTAGAATTCTGATATATATATATGAATCCTAAATATCTTCTATTTTTATCAAATATTTGTTTAAATTAGGTTTATATTAGAGTTACATAATGCTGGCTGAAGCTTGATTTGTTTATTTAATCACTTAATAAATTACTAATATGAATATGAGTTTTAACTCTGCTCATTTTAATGATTGTGTTTTGAGACAATGTATTACAGTACACCCTCTCAAATCTAATATACATGGTAGACAGCTTTTGTATCAGTTTTGAGAGGTTATCAGATTTAAAAAATAATTTAAAATACCAATAGTGTGCTGTCACATGATCACAAATAAATATTATTGGCTGGATTATATTTCTTATATATATAGTCTGTTGGACAAAACCCAATCTGAGCCAATCAAATTGATTTATATTACCTGTCAAAACTGATATCTTATAGATATCTGGTCTTGTGTGTATCAGTTATTAGATTTTAATTATGGAACAAACATGGTAGATAAATTTTTTATCAGTTATAGCAGGTTATCAGTTTCGACAGAATCAGTTTTGGGAGAGTGTATTGTATTAACAATAATCTTTTAATCTTTTAATAAATTATTAAAGTAAGTATAAAGTTTAATTCTGTTATCTTAATATTTGTGTTTCAAGAGAAAATATAATTAACTATAATCATTAATCATTTAATAAATTACCAGTAAGTATGAAGTTTGATTCTGTTCATTTTAATAATATTTTAAAAGAAATTATATTAATTGTAATCATTTAAGTTACCAGTGTGAGTTGAAGTTTAATTTGCTTATTTTGATAATTATATTTTAACAGAAAGTATAATAACTGCAATTAACTATATCAAAACTAATATACATAATTTACAGGTATATGTTAGTTAACTCAAATTTAATCACTATATATACTGTGTTAGCAAGTAAATTATAAATCAAAATATAAATAATTTCTAATGCATAAAACTTAACCCTAACAACATACTGTAGTCTCTAAATAGCAAGTAAGCTTTATAATAATTTTTATATCAAGTTACAGTAAAAATTATAATAATACTAACTTAACAACTATATTTATACCATATTAGAATCATGATAATTTTAATGTAACTTATTTAAATTTAACTTATATATTGCCAAAATAATGAGTAAGTTTTATTATAAAATTTTTACTCAACTTGCTATATTTACAAAAGTAGCAATTAACTACTTAACAGAAATTTTTATTATAATCATAATAAAAATTATTATAATCTAATATAAATTTAATACAAACTATTGTTACTAGAATAGGAAGTTTTGCAACAGAATTTTTTACAATAACTCATGCTAATTCCAATGCAAACTAATCCAATTACTTATAGCATGTCACTAGAATAATGAGTAAATTTTTTATTATAACTCATAATAGAAATTATTAGAATTTATTGGATAATTATTCTTATTAAATTACTATGTATTTAAATTAATTTTTTCATATATTTAAATTTTTTCTTTTTTCATATTTAATTTTTCTTCCTTTTTCATATTTAATTTTTTTTTCTTTTTTTTTTCATATTTAATTTTTATTTTTTGTATCCAATTTTCTTTTTTTCATTTTTTATATTTAATTTTTTTAATTTTTTTTCTTTTTTCATATTTAAATTTTTTTCTTTTTTGCATCTAATTTTTTTTGTATTTAATTTTTTTTTCATATTTTCTTTTTATCATATTTAATTTTTTCATATCATTTTTCTTTGGGTTTTATAATTTACCACCATGGCGATGTATCGCCACCCTGATCAACCAATTAGAATGCAGGATCAGGTGTAACGTGAAATCGAAGCAATTATGATTTTTCTTCAAAAATCAGCTATAGCACAAAATTTTGCCTATGAAACCATCTCTCGTGCTCTAACAAAAAAAATCTCTCTCAAAATTTTGGGTTAGTACCTCTTTACTAAAGCGCTCTACCCTAACACTAACCTAACACTAACCCTAACACTAACTCTAACCTAACCCTACCCTCACCCTAACCCTAAACTAATGAATTAATTTTATTGTTTTGATTTCATATTGCACACGATCTTATAGGGTGCGATACATCACATATGCGATAAAATATAAAATTCTTTTTCTTTCTATTATATTTAATTTTTTTCAAATTATTTTTTATTTTAACTCTTTTTACATTTAAATTTTTTTTTATATTTAAAACTTTTTAGAGTTAATATTTTTATACCCGTAGGGTACATTAAATTTTTTTGTACCCATTATATGATATTATATAAAAACCAGTAATACTGATATCATTTAGATTAGGGTTAGGGTAACAACTATGTTAGGTTTAGGCTTTAGGTTATTATATAGTAAAATTGCTCAAGAAAAACTTTTTATTAGTACACAAAGGGTGGTTTAGTATGCAATTTCTTGTGAAATGAGTGATTTTTGTCAAAACAAACGTTTGTTTTGAATTTTTCTGATCGTGTAACGTTACACCTGATCTTGAATTTTAGTGGTGATCTATAGATCACATGATACGGGTATGTGTACCTTTGGGTACATATATATAATCTCAACTTCTTTATGTTTAAATTTTTTTTCATATTTTGTATTTAATTTTTTTTATTCATTTTTTTGATATCTAGTTTTTTTCATGTTTTTTTAGTGAAGTTCCTAATTTAAGAAAAAAATCCTCATTTAGCTTTATTGAGAGAATACTTCACTATACTGAATTGAAGGTTAATGATTTTGGAATTCAAAAAGTTTTCACAATATTGAATCTTCACTATAATGAGAGACTCCTATAACAAGAGAGAGTTGTATTTATTGATTTTTTTTTTATTGCCTTTTTGTATTTTAATTATTTTTCGTATTTATTTTTTTTCATATTAAAGTTTTTTCGGGTTTAATTTTTTTTTATATTTATAATTAATTATTTTTATCAAATTTAAATTAATTTTTTCATCTTTAAATTAATTTTTTTTGTACTTAATTAAATTATTTTATTTTTTTCATATTTAAATTATTTTCGCTAACAAAAAAAAATATACATAGAATGAGTTTTAAGTTTGCATGTGTCTTTAATTCACAAGAAAATTAAAAAAATTGTTAAGCTTAACAATTTGAAACTTAAAAAAAAATTGTTAAACTTAACAATTTTGAAACTTTCGAAAGTTTGCATTAATCTTCAAATTTTCAAAAAAAAAATAAAAAGTATGATTTACTTTATCCAATTGGAGATAGTATATCATGCATCCAATCAGAACTTGAAGAAATTAGGGCTCCTAAATTATTATAATTCTAATATAACTATCACATAATTTGTATTATCATAATAGTAAGTTCTGTAATAGAATCTTTTACAATAGCTTATGATAGAAATTTTATTCTTTCAACCCGTGCCGGAGGCACGGGCGATCTGCTAGTAACCATACACTACGTGATTTCATCACTCCGTTCCTGGTATAGTTTTCGATAATATAATTTTCGACCGATATATTATCGCTGTATGTTTTGTACCGGCCGAAAATTATATACCGAAATTTGCTGACGATCATCACAAAATTCATCACGTGTCCCACTAATTTTCAAATCAGCTGTAATCATTTCAAAACAGCGATAATCAATTTAATAATACTATTATTAATTCGGCTAGATAAAACTTATCGATACTGAAACTCGAAAGCTTAAATCCAGATTTTTACATTTATATTCATACATAACAGATCTTAAATGAATGCGCTTTCATAATAATAACTCCAAACAAATTTATACAGTGATGATCATAAATTATGCGGGGTAATTAATATGCGTATCAATAATCTATACAGAGTAATTAATATATTAATAAACTATATGGAGTAATTAATATATTATGGAAAGCGATAATAATAAAAGAATTAAAATAAGCAATGTTGGGCGCAGAAATGCTAAAAGGCAACCCGGATTTTAGAATTGAATATAATTTCTAGTAAAAATTTTATCATAAATATATTTGCTAACAATTTTAAAAACATTAGATCAAAATATAGAAAAAAATAATAATGGACTTAAAACAAAATCAGAAAATATTTCATGCAGAATTTCTTGATGGCATTCGTGGTGTAGCAGCTTTATGCGTCGTATATGAACATTCACAAAGACTATTCAATCAGTCGTTACCATTCACAACATTTGACTACGTTGGTTATCTTGGAGTAAGATGTTTTTTTGTACTTTCGGCCTTTTTACTTACTTTTCGATCGATGTTGGATTGGGAACGGTATCATGAAAATATTGAAGTCGAAAAACATATTGGTACAGATGCAAGAAGTAGGTGTGCTTACGAAAGTAAAATTGACCTAGAAATGTATTTAACGGACGTTCCACTTTTGTCAAAAACGGTTTGTGACAATTTCATCTGAAATACAGTATACTGAATTTTTAGATTAAATTTTAATCTTTTAAATTAATTAATATATTACAGACTGAGAACTCCTCAACAAAAACGAAATATAATATTTCCTACAAGTTTTTATCCTACATTCAATCAAAAATATGGATAAAACATCAAATCGCAATAAAACTTTGGTTAAAGTTTTTTCTCCGTCGATTTATGCGAGTATACCCACCTTACGCGATACTTTTATTTATTATTGCATATAATGACTTTGTCAACAAATCATATCATGGACGCATAGATACTTCAAATTTAATCTCTCATTTATATTTACATAAAGCAAATTTTATTTTTTGGACCATTCCTACTGAAATGAAGGTATTTATCTCCTTAACAACACTTTTTTTTTATACTCGTAAACGATAATAATAATTTTTAAATATATAATATAGTACTATTTATGTATACCAATAATTGTCATCGGATATGTAGAATTGGCTCGTTTTGGTGCATACCTTACAAATATTTTATTTGGAAGGCCAAAGATTGGAGCATGGATATGTCGAATACTTTGTAACATAATTCTTATGATTATCCGGGCAGAATTGTTATCATCATATGGAGACAACCATGGCCGATATCTGACAACAAACGCCCATGTATTTTTGGCGGGTTCAATTTGTTCAATTTGGTATAGGGAAATCATTCGCTTTAGACTATTGCCACTGAGCTCAAAAGAAGAAAATGTGTTGGTTAGCAAATTCAACAATTTTGGTGAGGTTACACATACAAATTTAAGCTTTATGAAAATGATTATTAAGAAATTGCCTAGTCGTCATCAGTTCATTAGATCATTTTTTGACTTGGGGTGTTATATCACAATTTTTATGATTTTCTGTACGCTTCCTCATTTATCTGAAAAGATTCTAGGCATGCCTCGTATGCCTCATATGAGATATGTGCTTGAATTAGAAAATAGTTTTGGAGGCTTTCTTTATGCTATATTAATTCTTGTATGCCTCCTTTCTCGTGATGGCTCATTTATCAATGCATGCACATGTAATTTTCTACGTTTTTGTGGGCAGATTTCGTTTAGCATATATTTATTACATCCAATCGCACAGACATTCGTGAACGAATATTTGACACAGATTGGTATAAGTGGCGCGGAAAAGGAGCTTGATAAAGAGGAAAAAGCTAATGATATATTAGACGCAGTAATAATGTCATATGTTCTGACAATCATTCTTTCGTGGTTATATTACTTATTCGTTGAAAAACCTTCTATGAATTTGGCTAACTATATAACGAAAAGATGGCTAAATGAAGTGAAACAGGCAAAATCTGATAATAAAACTATTAATGTTGAATAAAAGATTTTTATCCACAACAAAAATATTCAGATGAGTTTGTTAATAATGATGACTGCTATTGTATAGATAAATTAGTTTTTGTTGTTTTTTTATACAATTTTAATTTTTATTTATTTATTTTCCCTGTTATAGCTTTGTTATATTGATTAGCCATTACATTTTATTTTGTTATTTTTTAAACATCTTATTACATAAAGTCACAATGAATTATATATACTAGTTCTTTCATTATGACGAAGTCACGAGGCATTCATTTGTCACAAGATCACAACCCAGATCCATGACAATGACAAATTGTTTATTGAGTATTGATTAATACCGTATTACCGCGTAATAACGCGCAGGGGTGAAATTATGAATTTCGGCCCGAATTAAGCTTAATTCAGGCCGAACCTCGAGGTAACGCCCATGAGCGTTATTACGCGAAAATACGGCAAGTATCGATAAGTATGAGGTCATTTGAGAATAGTTATATAAAGGGAAAAGGTTGTGATTTTTGTTCTCCCTCTTTTGTCTTTGCTGCTAGCTCGACGCAAGCCTAGCTTTATCGTAATACCCACCCACCCCACCCACTGCCGGGAAGAAATTTGGGGGATGGGTAATTAGTTTTGGTAGATTCGATAGCCCAGGTGAACAGCCTGGATATCAGGGTAGACATTGATAGCCTAACTGCACAGGTTGGATATCAAAATGTAACTTAGAGACAGGTAAACTAATGTAAGGAGAATAATCGATCCTAGGAACGAGCTGTAGACCACGTGAGCAGCGAGGAGATAGATATCCCATATAGTTGTTTCGTAGTTGTTTGTACCTTGATGGGTAATCGAGTGACAAATATTAGATATAACAATACGAATTAATCTAGGAAAAAATATTTTATGTATTTCGTCAACTTGAATCGCTAATAGATGAGTAAACTGAATCTTAACGAAAGACAAGGCTTAATACAGTATTTATTTTTCACGTGCGCACGTTAAAAATAAACACTGGCTTAACGACACAGTAACTGCACACGCAAGCTGCTTTGGCGTCCCATTCCAACTAATAGTTAGATTTGATGAAAAGAGTATATACTTACACTCAGGCCTTTGCGTTCTATAACGTATGGTGTCGTAAGTTTAACAACCCCAATCTTTCTTTATAGAAATAAACTAATTAGTAAAATACCCTATAAAAAGATTTGTATAAACTTGTTTAATATTTGTATAACATACATAAAACTATCTAAAAAACACCATTCTGTCTAATTTTTGTCTTATTTTTGTTTATTTCAAATAAACCAAAATTTAGACAAAAAATTAGATAGTGGTACTTTTTACAAATATTAAACAAGTTTTATATAAAACTTTTTTATAGGATGTTAGAATCAGGGACGATGATTTTCTGTTTCTGTTTTCGGTTAAGAAAAATTGTGATGTCATGTGCTGTTTTTTTAATGCATTCTGTGAAATTCTGTGATGAAGAAGTTAATTTGTGTAATTCTGTGGTAATTTTAGTTGATTCTGTGATTTGATTAAAAATATTAAAAATACAAATGTACAAAATTCCGTAATTTCCCGGAAAACACGTTCGGAATTTACATTTTCGGGATTTCCCGGTGCCCAATCTGAATTTATGGTCAAATCCTGCGATATTATAGAATTCTGTGATATTCTGCACTACTTTTTTAGATTTTTGTGGCATTCTGCGATACTAAAGGTGATTTCTGTGGTTAGCTGTTTTTAAGGCAAATTTTCTGTGATCGCAGTAAATCATCGTCCCTGGTTAGAATATTTTCTAAATTTTTTAATTTCAATAGAATATGTAACAAAATTTTGAAAACGATTGTACATATAAAATTTATACCGTAAATTCTCGAAATAGCAGGCAGGGGCGTTATTTCTAAAATTGCGCCTCCTAAAAATAGCACTGGTGGTTTCGAAATAACGCCCATACGCGTCCCGAAATAGCGCGCACCTCGAAGAGCAAGTATCAGGTAAATATCGGGATACAAAACTCCCGACATGCACCTGATTTATCGCTAAATATAGCATATCGGTAGTATATCAGAAGCCTTGTATCCGATATTTACCTGATTTTGCAGAATTAATACTTTATCTCGAAATAACGCCCATGGGCGTATTCAAAATAACGCGCATGTAGTCAAAATAGCGCGCAGATGCCCGCTATTTCGAAATTTTACGCTATGTCCAATTTTTTAAAATTATTGGACATAATTTGGACATATATCCAATGCCTGCACTAGTACGTACGTAATGAGCCTGATTTTATTCATTTTATTTTTAATTAAGTTCATAAATCCATTCGATTTTTTTTTTTATTAAAAGTCGGATTGGCTTTTTTCTTATTTTTTGGTAGAAATTTGCAATTTAAAGTAACTAGTAGTTTTTGTGCAACTACAAAAAAGAAATCCTTCATGAATCTGGCTGGATTCGGATCGGATCGAATCCGGATTTCGGATCGAATCCAAATCTTTGGAAATATTCGCCAGATTCGATCCGAACACTAAACACATGTAAATAAAATGGAGAGTGTAAAATATTCATGAGCTTAAATAGCTTATTTAAGAGATCGATAAGATCTTTATACAGTACTCAACCAAATTAACGCGAATAAATTAGTTAAGTACGATATTTAGAATAAACTCTCAATCCAAAATCAATTCTGATTTTGAAAATCGACTACTATACTTATTTCTTCTTCAAAAAAAAAAAATAAATACTTGTTCTGAATTTTTGAATTTTTGTAAATTCCATGAATTTTTTTTTTAGTTAATCTTCAGCTTAGAATAGATCTTTGGTAAAAATGGTCGACCTTCATCCGAATCAACCGGATGAATAACATTATATAATCATAGTTATCTTAAATAGTCTACGAATTAAAAAGCTCTTTACACTTTTTTGAGTAAATGAGAGGCTTTCGTCGACCTTTCAACAAATTGGCACACTGCAACTTTCCTTAGAGAGCAATTTAAAAGACTCTTAAATTTAATTCAATCAATATAAATTCTGTTATGTGTGCTTAATTAGTGATAACTATTCGCGAACTTGAATAGTTTACCCAATTAAAAAGATCTTTATTATGTAATATTATTTTAAAATAACCCATTTTTGCATTTGCATCATTTAATACTTAACACAAATCGAGCAAAATTATATAAGGAGTACTATTACAAAGACTTTTATAGCTTGATTAATACGAACAAGTGTATACTAAATTGACCAAATTATTGCGAATAAAATAAACAAATGTGCATAAATTTGAATCACTTATTATAAGAAATTATCACTGCCTAAATTAACCGAATAAATATGAAACTTGGTTCAAGTTTATAATTTGTTTTTTTTTAAAAAAAAATGGTGCTCTTTATTTTCTTTATTTGTGAAATCAATATACAATACAATTATTCTCTAAATCAAAGTTGCATTATAATGGAAATTAAAAGGGAGGACCTAATGTTAATTATTAAACATGATAAACATAACTTTGCTGGGCAATTAATTTTCAACAATTACACGTAACCAGAAAAAAATCCGGGCTACCAATTTAGTACCGAATATTGGATTTGGGGACAAAATATGAAGTCAAATTAAATTGACTTATTATCTATAGTCAAACCTTTTCAAATTTTGGGGTAGTTTACAAATGCGCCGTAATGATCAGGTTATGGACATTAATATCATATCTACGAAATGTAATCCTGTGTATATATTTAGAAATGATTTATTTTAATAATCAGTGATCATTATTTTATCAACCTAATAAAAAATCCTGCAAAGAAAAATGCTAAACGTCAAATATTGAGCAATTTACATAGGGCCACCAATATTTACATCTAAAAATCATGATTTTACTATCAGTTGTAATTGTATACACACAGCGTACTATCTTGACTGGGACATGCATGTGCAGTTTAGCCCTGATAGTTAATAGGTGATAAATATATGATAGAGGCATGTGGAGGCCATTAATGAAGGACCTCGAGACATCTCGTCGTCTTTTCTCTTGATTAAGGTCTCAAGGTCTTCCTTAAATACACGATTATGGATAAATGTTTATTAATATTGCTGTATCAGATAACTTTATACAGTTCTATCTAATAAATCCAATATCACCAGTAAACGTTCGACCTAATAATCGCTTCTATTTCCACTATCCTACAGAATACACGTCTAAAGGGTAAATGACCAATTGTAGGTTACCTTAAATTACTATTATAAGCCACATCTAAGGGGTAGCGGGAAATTGCATTACCACTGCAGTCGCGTAGTCTAAAACAACAGTTTTTTGCATTGCTGTTACAGTCTCAATGTTTAATACCACCAACATCTTTATTGAGTGCTCACAATGCTTCTGCCGTTGCGCTATCTAGCAACGGAGAATATGGGCGGGCGAAAAAACCAGCCGTCACAATAAGGCGAGCAATAGCGAAAAGAAAAGTGACCCCTTATATGAACCAAAAACCTTAAATACCCATATATTAACAAAGAACAAACTCGTGTGTTCCTATTTCTAAACACAAAGCATATGATTACCCCTACCATATTCCGGTATTTCATAGCAATTCAATTACAAACAAGTATCATTATATGCAAATTATATGCAAATTATATGCAAATCATCTTAGGACTTCCGATATACTAATTAATCAAAATCATGTAATAGTAATAATACTAACGAAATCCTAGGATCTAAAATTGATTCACCTCATATACAAGCTATTTTTTTTAAAGAAATTTTTGTAGCAAATGCTTCGTATAGTATAATAAAAAAAAGCTACAGTGTAATATTTTTTATTAATTGGGCATTTTTGGTTATTACATTAGCAGAAATTACCGTGTACATGCTATTTTTTCTCGGAATTTTTACAATAATCGATTCACATAGTATAATAATAAAAAGCTACAGAGTAATATTTTTTACTAATTGGGAATTTGGTTATTATATTAGCAGAAACTACTTAAAGACTAGTAAGATTTAAAAAATTGATTCACCTCATGTACATGCTTTTTTTTTTGATAATTTTTACAATAATCGATTCGCATAGTATATCAAGACAAAATGCTGCAGAGCAAAATTTTCGATTAATTAGACACGTGTCGAAGCAATTTAGTTTCAACCCACCTGAACAGTCATGTGATATTTGTGCTTCCGGCATACTAATATAAGGTATTATAATAAACTAGGAAAATGCATAGCATTATGAGTCCGGAGTGTATCATATGATCGTAAATTTGATGGTATATTTCGGGGAAAAGATTTGCCGAGCGTGTTTATACATATATTTGTCGATCTGTGGATAGTGATTGGTTATATATCACATGTGCGGACGGACAAACAAACATCTTTGCGTAGAAATATAGAATCCTCCGCTACGCTCCGGACTAAAAATGTATAGATCGGCAAAATCGTTAAATTTACTAGCGAAGACTAGTAATCAAAAAATTGATTCATCTCATGTACCAACTATTTTTTCCTAGAAAATTATTCATCAAACGATTAGCTTAATATAATTAAATAAAGTTACAGTTTAAAATTTTTAATTAAATTCGTAAGAACATTTATAATATTGTTCGAATTAAAAAAAAAAAAAGAATTGGCTTTGTAAAAAAAATTAAAAAAAAAATAAAAGTAAAAATTTTAAACTGTAACTTTAATTATATTAAACTAATCGTTTGATGTATATATTACTAGGAAAAAATAGTTGGTACGTGAGATGAATAATCACTAGTCTTCGCTAGTAAATTTAACGATTTTGCCGATTATGCATAAAATTTGCACTACTAGTTTTTATTACAATATTTTACATAAATTTGATTAATTGGCATGTCGGAAGCCCCAAATACTACCTGCATTCAACAAGAAACTTAGCTAGTTGAGCATGTGATCTGCCATAATCTCACAATAATGATCACTTTGTCACTTCGTCGAATATGTATTTACATTCGTACTAACAGATCTTGAATGAATGCACTTTTATATTATCAAATTAATTGTAATTTACATCGTAACAACATCACTTATCTAATTATGCAGAATCATTAATTATGAACCCCCCCAATATGGCGATGTTGACGATGATTATCGTGCTTTTCAAATTGCTGTGTTCGGCGGACGATTAATGATGTACAATTGGTTTTTTTTTCAAATTTCATTCGCATTATGAACATTATGTATGGAAATATTTCAGAAGTTTACTCGTTTTAGGAATATTTCTGTATTTAGGATTTTATTCAGAATTCTGGCCCGCGTTATAGAGGTTTGTCTTCATGTAAAAAACCATGCGCATAATTTTTTTGAATTTCAAGATGTGATTTATATACTTTTTTTACATAATCACTTAGTGATAATGTTTATCAAATACAAGCTAATTGTGCCATCAATATGCCTAATTAATTTTGATTCAGAATTCTAAAATAGAAAATATGATTTTTAAATTCTTACTTATTTTCATCAGTTTATATTTTTTATAGATAAATTCAGATGAAAATCAATTTCATTCACAATGTTTATAAATAGCACATGTTTGTTTAAACAAAAAAAAAGAAAAAGTCAAAAAATCTAAGCACTTCTATAAAAAAATACTATATAATTTACTCTAACAGGAATATTTTACAATGAAATATATTTTTGTGCTCGTAGTTCTTATTTGTCTCGCCTATGGCCTGGAAATTCATGCATCAGAAGGTAATCAATTATTTTAATTTGTATCTTATATCTCTATTTTTTCTCATGTGTTTGACATTGCTTTGTAGTTAAATATAGTCATTTCACAAAACGTGACTGTATTGGCGGTGGGTATAGAGACTGTATCAAAAATGAACCATGTGAAGAGCATGATGATTGTATGATCGGTTTGGTTTGTAGCAATTCGGTATGCTCTGATGTTTCTGGTGATCCTGATATTTCTGATGATCTCGATATTTCTGGTGGTTTTGATGCTTCTGGTGATTCGATGTTTCTGGGGATTTTAATGCTTCTGGGGATTTTAATATTTCTGTTGTTTTACTACTTATTGAAAAATTTGAGAATAACCCAGAGATACAACTAAGTTGCAGGAAGTAAAGTATTGTATAAGCATGGCCGAGTCTTAGAGCTGGGTATTGCCCTGATTCTTCAACTTAATGTAATAATTGTTTTAAATTAATTAGGTCTTAGACCTACTCTTTAACTTAATATAAAAATTGGGTCTAAATTAATTTAATTATTGGATTTACCTGTACTATATTTAGCATTTAGTTCTAGATTCTTATCCCGATTATTTAAAAATTTTAAAAATTTAAAAGTTAATCACGTGTTTAAATATTTTTTTATAATTTCTTAAATAAATGCAATTGTATAAAAAATTTAGTTTCTTAAATATTTTTTATAATTTTATAGAAATTTTTTTAGATAAGCTAAATTACTATTGAAGACTAATGCTAACTCACCCCTGGTTAAATCATTTGGTGTACTATATCTCAAAAATGAACAAATAATTAGTTAGAAGTTCTAAGTAAAAATGTTCAGAACCTACTGTATGTTTTTTACTATCATGCACTATGTATAAAATCTATGTACACAATGTGCTCATGAGCACATGCTTTTAAAAATTTTCACATATTTTTAGCTAGAAGTGTGCACGTAATTCACAAGCTTTCTTGCCACATAGTGCATCAAAATTATTAATAACCTTAACTATGTGCGCATAGAGCACATTGTGCACGTAAGGTAAATATATTTATATAAAATGGTTTATAGTTACTTAATAATTTAGCGGCTGTTTCTCTAAATTTTATTTAATGATTAAATAAATTAATAGGGTAAGCTTATTTTTTTATATATATCGATATACATATGTATACTACACCTGATTGAATCTAAATTAGTGAATCGATCCGTAATCCGACCATCTGAATTGATCCTTAAATATAGATAAATTTAAATATCCAGATCAGAGATTTTTATTCGGATTTGTCAAAGAACTTAAATAACGGACATAAGAGTGTTCTCAAAGCTAGCTTTATATCTAATCTGACACGGATTCAATCCGGATGGCCTGTCAAGGATAGGATCGAATCCCTAGGCCACACTCAATTACGATATTTATTCTTTTTAAGAGTTTTTCCCTCGAATCACCTTTCAATCATTTAAAGTACCGAAATGTTTAAACCGACAATCCGAATAATCAAATTGTAAAAAAAAAATAATGTGAAGTTGAATTATCTCAAAATGATATTTACAATAGTAAACTTAGAACACGTTTTCAGATCACATTTTTGGATCTGAGCCAATCAAAAACGTTAAAGCGTACAAACTCAGAATTAAATGAGAGAAGAAGAGAAGAGATAAGATATTATAAAAAAAACGGCTGGGAATACACCCCCTCGATTTCAATCATAAGACTCAATTTTTTATAGACGCAATATAAAATTATTTATAATACAGTATTTTAAAGCAATCTTCAAATTTGACCCATTTTTCTATCAAATATAGCCCTTTTACCAAGATCTTCGGGCATTTCATCTGTATATTACATGCTATTGCTTTGTTTACTAAAAGTCGGCTTTCCGATTATCAATAAGGAGAGTTTTATACGATTTTTGCCTTTTTTTTAGGCATAGGGGTTACAATTTGATACCTTTTCACATAGCCACGTACAGGCTATACGCTTTATGACTGTAATGAGAGAAATCTGGACATTTTTTCGGCATAATTTTGGCTATTCTCCTTGCATTTCCTTGTCGCTTCCGATAGACCAGCGAGATCTTCTGGTGCGTGATGCACCTGATGCACTACACATATTGTCTGATGTTAGTAGCTTGATATAATTCTATCCTGTTTTACCTCCGGTAAAGAAATAAAATTCCAAATATTGTTGTTATATTACCTATACTTTCGGACATTTTCGGACATTACTTCCACTTTTTTGGCTTGTCTACATTCGTATTTTGTATTCATTCACTGTCTATATCGGGAAATTTCGGGTTCAATTAACTAATATTATATTTATTACAGCTAACTTATTGCAATAAGTTACCGTTAATATATTGAGCTAAAACCGAACCTATCCTTCAAAGTTATATTTCACGTACGTACACGCACCCTTATATAAAATATATTTATATATGTTTGGCTCGCCACCTCTGCACCATACCTGCGTTGCGTGCCCTGGTGCACCATTGGCGTCGCCAAATACCCAGAACCACAGCGCTTTTTTCGGCTCTATTCAATTTTTTTTTATTTTAACTTTGTATGTTAAAAATATTCGTCTAGTTTTTTTTTATTCATGCAGTTCAAAGACGCCATTGTTCTAAAAATATTGAATATCTTGCTTAAATTGGTGCATTGCAAAGCTTCAATTGTCTGCTGCAGAAGGAAAGAGAGGCATTACTAATGTTAGTGTAACGGCGATTATGGCGATTTACCCAAACTGATTTACTCAGTAACACTGCATACAAATTGATAACGATCATATCACATGAAGTATGCGCTTCGGAACGTTTCCTCCGGAATTTGGCAATACTATGTAACTTTCTAATTTCGGGAACAATGCAAGCATCTTTAATATATTAATCGAAGGTAAATATGCATTTTTTTTTTTTTTTAAAAAAAAAAAAATGAAGTCATCTTCTAAGGTCGCAATTACGATTTTAATCTTTGTTTTATGTCAATTTGTTATTAGCCTTCCTACTCCTCAAAAACCCACCAAAGTATTAACCATACAACTCACTGATGATGTTACTGTTGTACTTACCGGTCACAATGAGGTTAATGAACCCTCGGACGTTTATATGACTACAGTAGAACTTCCAGATGTCGGAGTGTCTGAAAACCAATCTCCTGAAGTTAAAGTTTCTGAAATCCAACTTCGCGAAGTCGAATTTCCCGAAGTCAAATTTCCCGAAGTTAAATTTCCTGAAATTCAATTTCCTTCCCTCGAACCAATTTTTGAAAAAATTCGAGAATTCTTTGGAGCAATAGTTAAATTTATAACCGAGTATTTCATCATTATTATTGTAGTAGTAGTAATAATAATTATTATATTTTTTATTGGTCCTTATATTTTTCTTGGATTTCTCCGTCTTTTGGGATTTGGTGCTGGGGGAATAATTAAAGGAAGTTTGGTTGCCATAGGTCAGTCCATTGGTGCTTTAGGTACTTGTGGTGCTACAATTTTTCATGTGATAGGATGTGGTACCTTTGGAATTGTTAAAGGAAGTTTAGTAGCCATATGTCAGTCTATTGCTGCTATAGGTGCCCATTGATAGTAATGGCGGTATTATTCATGATGTTTTATTTTTTATATATGGATATCAACAAACAGAACTAGTAAATATAATTGAACAAAATGGCATCGCCGGAATTACCTAGACCATTCATAAAGTATGGCTGATGTCATTTGCGATAAAACTGATTTTGTATAAATGGTTATATATATTAATATAGATATGTAAAATGTAAAATATAAAATATTTATTATAAATTAAACTCTGACTAGTGTATTCAAATGTTTACAAGGGCTAATACCATTTCTAGTGTTTTCGTTGAATCATATTTTAATATGACTTGACGAACTTTAGTATAGATGGCATTATTATTAATCATTAAAGTTAAGGTTCCTGACACAAACGACTCAAATTTACTAAACATTAAATTTTGCGACTCTTTAGTCACATAGTTGGCTTCCTTGGTTTTATTTGCAAATCCGAAATTATCAGCATTTGCATATTTACAACCAAATGCAAGATTTTATGGACGCACATCATTTAACATCTCTGCAAACCTTGCTTACTCACGGAAAACTCGGTTTCTGATAAAACCATTCTCTCTATTTTCACTTACGAAAAACTCCGTTCCTATGCATTCTAGTACTTACATGCTTGCATGTTTGTACAAGCAAGCAAGTCATCTCATTATTGACGTAAACAGATACATCGCATCGTAAAGCTTAATAGTAAGATCAATAATAATAGAGCCCAACTTGCCGAATTGATCAATTGTGCCCAAGGTCACTAAATAAAATTTCTAAATAAAGATGATCAGTTGATAATTTTTTGACTCGAAATTTTACCCTATAAAAAATATTCAAATTTACAAAAAGTGCGTCAGTTTGGGAATCAAATTAGTTCAGATTGACGATTATACAGATTAAATAAATAAATATAAATATAAATAAAAAGTTAAGCATTTTTTATTCTAATATTTATCTCGGCGATATATTGTGACAATACGCAGACACAATATCCAGTACAAGGTACATTGGCATAATAATGGACAGCATTTGGTTTTTCAGTTTACCCAGCTGTGATAGCGTTTTCATTGGAATTTCTTGTTTTTTTTTGCTTATTCAGTTATTTGTTGGTCATGTACAGGTCTTGTTATTTGTTTTGTCACGGCATTTCTAAATAGATGAACATGCAAACTAGAATAATATCAAGGGCTAAATATTTGGTTTAGTGGTTCCAATTCGTTAGATAAAGTTATCTAAAATTTAAACTCGATAGAATCGTATAAAGATGAGCTTTCAATGATTTGTGTACAAATATTACAATTTTATTTTTATCTCATCAGAATCTTATGTTTAAACTTTGAATTTTATATGCACTCAGAGGGTTATAAGAATGTCAAGCAATGATTATATTTGGGACTATTTATATAGTTGTCTCGATACTTAAAATGTGAGGATTAAAAAATCAAAAGTCATATTTTGTTTCAATATTTATAGATAGGAATGGGTTCGGCTACAAACGGCTACGATCACTACAAGCAGATTGCTAAATTTCGATATGATTTTTTTTTATAAATCATTAATTAAAGTTATATAGTAAATTTTAGTCATAGTTACTTATAAGATAAATTTTAAAACACCTCTAAAATTCAAAATCTAAAAAATTCATCATCGGTCACACGGTCAGCCAAACCGCTCCATAACCGGTGATAAATTTTAAGATTTTGAATTTTTGAGAAGGTATTTTGAATTTATCTTAAAAGTAACTATGGCTAAAATTTACCTCTGAACAATAAATTAATTAATGACTTATAAAAAAAACCCCGTTTCAAAAATTTAGTAATCTGCTTGTAGTGATCGTAGCCGTTTATAGCCGAACCCATCCCTAGTTATAGACTTAAATCCTGGTTTTTACGCAATCAGAATTCGTATGATCTTTTAGATAGTCAAAAAAATAAATAAATAAATTATTTACAAATCAAAAAAAAACATTAGATAATGTCCGCCAAGTCTATGAACGGTGCTGTTCAGATCAAGTCTATATATTATATTCAAATCTAGCACAAATTTGCTTGGAATATTTCATGTGACATATACCCGCATTTTAACATAAAGATTATAGACGCAAAAAAATTATTCATACCATTTTTAAACCATTTTTAAACTTTGACCCATTTTTCTACCAGATATCTCTTTTTTCACCAAGATCTTTTGGCAATTTCATCTTTATATTGCTTGTGAATAATATGTTACAATCTCTTTGTTTATTAAAAGTCGGCATTTCCAATTATCAACTAGGTGAGTTTATACGTTTTTTTTTTTTTTTTTTTGACATGGAGGTTACTATTGGATACCTTTTCACATAGCCGCGTACAGGCTATATGCTTCACGACTGTAATTAGAGGCATCTGGACACTCTTTACATAATTTCTGGTTATTTTCTTTGCATTCCCTTATCGCTGCGAGAGATCCTACCTCAAAAGTTGTCTAAAGTTTGACCCTTCCGAAGTGATTATTATGGGTACCCGCAGCACTTTTTTTCGGCTCTATTTTAATTTTTTTATTTTATTTTTAACTTTTGCGTGTTAGAAATATTCGTCTTGTTTTTTTTTTGGTTAATGCAATTCAAAGATGCCATGGTTCTAAAAAATATTGAATATATTGCAAAGCTGTCAATACTCTTTGAACGCTCTTTATGGGTTTCTCAAGTGCGTTTGTATTTTCTACTGCAGAAGGAAATAGAAGTATTACTAATGCTAGTGTAACGGCGATTTACCCAAATTGGTTAGCCCGTGGTTTTCAAAGTTAGAATTCTGGAAGAAAATTCCGAGATGGCGTATTTAAATACATTGATCCGAAGTAAAATTGCATGTTTTTGTAAAAAAAAACAAGAAAAAAAAAATATGAAATCATTCTATAAGGTCGCAATTACGATTCTAATCTTTGTTTTATGCCAATTTGTTATTAGTTTTCCTATCCCTCAAAAATCCACCAAAGTATTAACCATACAACCCACTGAAGATGTTACTGTTGTACTTACCGGTCACAATGAGGTTATTGATGAACTCTCGGGCGTTTATATGACTACAGTAGAACTTCCAGATGTCGGAGTGTTTGAAAACCAATCTCCTCAAAAACTTACCAAAGTATTAACCATACAACTCACTGATGATGTTACTGTTGTACTTACCGGTCACAATGAGATTAATGATAAACCCTCGAATGTTTATACGACTACAGACCAATTTCCTAAAGTTAAATTTTTTGAAATCCAATTTCCTGAAGTCAAATTTTCTGAATTTAAATTTCCTGAAATCCATTTTACAGTTTTTGAAAAAATTCGTGAATTCTTTGAAACAATAGTTAAATTTATAACTGAAATCCAACTTCCTGAAATCAAATTTCCTGAAATAGAATTTCCTGAAGTTAAATTTCCTGAAATTCAATTTCCTTCTCTCGAACCAATTTTTGAAAAAATCCGGGAATTCTTTGGAGCAATAGTTAAATTTATAACCGAGTATTTCATCATTATTATTGTTGTAGTAATAATAATTATTATATCTCTTCTCAGTCCTCAGATTTTTCTTGGATTTCTCTATCTTTTGGGATTTGGTGCTAAGGGAATAATTGGAGGAAGTTTGGTTGCCATAGCACAGTCCATTAGTGCTTTAGGTATTTGTGGTGCTTGTGGTGCTAAAATTTTGAGTATGATAGGATTTGGTACCCTTGGAATTTTACGAGGAGGTTTAGTAGCCATATGCCAGTCTATTGCTGCTATAGGCGCAGGTGGATTACAATTATTACCAGTGGTAGTAATGGCGGTATTATTCATGATATTATTTTTTTATGCATGGGCATCGGCAAAATAGAACTAGTAAATCTAATTGAACAAAATGGTACCGCCGGTATTACCTATGTAGGTCGTCCATAAAGTCATTTGCGATAAAATTGATTTTATATAAAATGGTATATATTAACATGTCGATATGTAAAATTAAATTTTATAATATGGATCATATATTTATTATAAATTAAATTCTGACTAGTGTATCTGGTGTATTCGTTGAATCATAATTAATATGACTTGGCGAACTTTAGTATATTAATCAATATTGTTAATGGGTATCCGTACTAAATTTAGTGCAAAGACTTAATTTTAGTACAGTAAAAAAATTTAGAATTTGGAAAAATCTGATTACAGTATACCTTCGTTAATATTAACCTCGTTAATATCAACCTAAACCATATTATGAATTTTTACAAATTTTAGATATTAAAATCCCCTTTTATATCAACTAGCTCCGCGTGTATCACTATGTACCACATTTTAATTTAATTATTACGAAGTATACCTACACTAATATAAAAAGCTACAGTATATGAGTAAATATGATGGTCACCAAAAGAAAACCCGAAAGTCTAAAAGTAGATCACCTATGAATTCCATAAGTGATCTATTTTTAGATTTTCGGGGTTTCTTTTAGGCGGCACTCATATATAATCATTATAAGTGGATATTTAATATAAAGAATTAATTAATATAAGTTAATCCTGAATCTATTTAAGTATTATCTTGACTGTGTTAATATTAAGAGGTTTCAAATTATTTTAGCATTAAATATTTATTACATGATTATAGAATAATTTTAACATTTGTGAATTAGTGAATCCAGAAAAATTATATATAATAAAATGTCGATCATGTGAGCTTAAATAATGCAATGTGATTTATAACTTCAGTGATTGTTGAAATAGAAGGCTCTGATTGGCTGGTGACAATAGGATTTAATAGAATGGATCCCTTGTTAATATCATGATAACATATATTTAAATCAATTCAAATGGGTTGATATAAATGAGAGTAGACTGTAATAATCTTATAGTAAACTTTTTGTAAAATATAAATATATATCTATTTAGTCTTTAAAAATAGAGTATATTTATTTATCACACCCTGCAGTGTCACTAATTTATCGTCTCTCACATAATCAACCAATCAAATTTTAAGATCAGGTGTGACATAGTACAATTAGAAAATTCAAAACAAATGTTCATTTTGTCAAAAATTATCTATAACTCAAAACTTTGTATATGAAACTACTAGAGTTCCTCAAAGTCAAATCGAATCAAATATTTATATATTTGAATTTGATTGAATCGAATAAGCTCTTGGTTTGAATTTGATTTGATCAAATCAAATTTAAATCAAATCAAATTTATTTGTAATTTTTATTAAGTATTTTTGAATCAAATTGAATATTTTGTCAATTTGAATTTGAATTGATTTGAAATTTCTGTATTTGAATTTGTTTTTGAGATCAAATATTTGATTAAATCAAATCAAATCAAATCAAATTGCAGAACCCTATAAATTACCCTTTGCATTTTAACAAAAAAAATTTCTCTTAAAATTTTACTATAAAACTTCTTACCCAATCTTAACCCTAACCCTAACCTATACATTACTCTTACCTCACTTTAACCTTAATTAACAAAAAACAGGATTTCACATTTTATGATTTGCAGAGATTTTGTAACATTGTATGTGAGATGTATAAATTATCTCTTAAAAAGATACTAGTTTAACAAAGATTATATTAAGTATAGGCTGTATCATCACTTCTGATACATTAAATTTTATAAAATAAATTAAAAAGTTTATTAATAATATTAATTATTGTTCATGTGATATGATCATGTAAAATTTTTTGCCTTGATATTTTTGTCATAAAATGATATCATCATTTATGCAAAATGTCACGACTAAAAATTTCACATGCTAATATAATATAAACAATAACATCAATATTGGTC